TGTATTTTTTGAATTGGAGTGTCGCTCTGTTGCCCAGGTTGTATTTCAGTGGTGCAGTCTTGGCTTACTGCAACCTCCACCTTCCAGGTTCAAGCGATTCTCCTGCCGCAGCCTCCCAAGTAGCTGGGACTATAGGCACGCACCTCCATGCCCAGCTGATTTTTCAATTTTTAGTAGAGACAGGGTTTCACCATATTGGCCAGGCTGGTCTCGAACTCCTGACCTCAAATGATCCACCTGCCTCTGCCTCCCAAAGGGCTGGGATTACAGGTGTGAGCCACTGTGCCTGGGCATCTTTTTCACATTTTTCTACTGAGTTATTTGGCTTTTTCTTATTGATTTAGAGACGTTCTTGATATATTCTGGGATACTAATCCTTTGTCAGTTATTTGCATTGCTGTTCTCTGCGATAGTTTCTGGTTTGTATTTTCATTTTATTTATGGTGTCTGTAATAAATACAGCATTTATATCCTCCACCTGCAAATGTATATGTTGAAGCTCTAACTCCCAGTGTGATGGTATTTGGAGATCAAGCCTTTCATAAATAATTAGGTTTGGATAAAATAATGATGGTGGGGCCCTCATGATAAGATTAGCATCCTTATAAGAAGACACACCAGAGAGCTTTCTCTCTCTCTCTCTCTGAGGCGTGAGAACACAGCAAGAAGACAGTCATTTGCAAGCCAGGAAGAGAGCCCTCCTCACCAGAACCCAATCAGGCCGGCATTCTGATCTTGGATTCCAGCCTCCAGAACTTGATGATAAAATGTCTGTTGTTTAAGCCACCCAGTCTATGGTATGTTGTTATGGCAGTCTGAACAGACTAATACAGTGTCTTTATGTACGGCATAAGATAGAGATTTAATTTTACATTTATTTTTTTCATTTGGATAACCAGTTGTCTCAGCATCATTAATTGAAAGGTCTGTTCTTTCAATTATTTGTAGGGTTGTCTCCTCCAGATATCAATATTCCATACATGTATGGGTTAGTTTTTTGGCATTCTATTTTGCCGCATTGAGCAATTTGTTTATCTCTATGCTCATAAGTTACTATCTTAATTAAAATAATTTCACAATAGGTTTCGATATTTGATAGAGCAATGTCCTGCACTTTATTTTTCTTTTTCCGGGTGTTTTACTAGTCATGGAACTTTATGTAGCCATATGAATGTTAGAATAAGCTTGCTAAATTTCCAGGCAAAAAAAACCCATTGAGACCAAAGAAAAACTTTTTGTTATAAAAAATTTCTAATATACATAAAAATAAAAAAGAATAGTATATTGAATTTATCAATATATCAATTAACTAAATTTAACAGGTATTAACATTTCCAATATTGCTTCTCAATTTTTTTCTTCACCGAAATATTTTAAAGCAAATCCCAAGTGTCCTGATATTTCTCTCCTCTATATTTCAGGAAGCATCTTTTTAAAAGAGGAGGCATTTTCTTGTATATCCAAGAGACCATATTATGCCTAACAAGAGTAACAATAATTCCTTTATAAAATTTAATATAGTCTATATTCAAATTCTTCTAACATCCTCCCTTCCTTTTTACAGATGATCTGTTAACATCTAATACAAATAAGATGTTCCCACTGTATTTGGATGTAATGTTTCTTAGGTCTCCTTTAATCTAGACAGTTCCTTCACCTTTTAAAAATGTCATTGGCCTCTTAAAAAAAGCTAGTCACTTGTCCTATAGAATGTCTTACATTTTGAATATATGTCTAATTGCTTCTTGGAGTATCCTTTACCTTATTTCTCTATCTCCAAAATTTCAGATTTAAAGTGTTGCTTTAATTCAGGTTCATGATGAATGTAATGACTGGTTGTATCACTTTCA